CACAACCCACACAGACTACCACTACCCGTGGGCTGTCTACCACGCCTGCTGTAACGTCTGCTGTAACTCTTGAGACTACCACGACGACTGTAACAACTGCTGGAACTCCTGAGACTACCACGCCCGCTGGTGAGCAGATTACCACCACCCGTAGAACCCGGCCGCAGACACAACCCACACAGACTACCACTACCGCGGGAACTACCACTCACCCTCATGAGGAGACGCCCACAGGTGAGCAGACTACAACGTCCGTCGAGGAGAAGACTACCACGCTCACTGGTGAGCAGACTACCACCACTCGAAGAACCCGACCTCAGACACAGCCCACACAGACTACCGCTCCCGCTGGAACTCCTGAGACCAATGAACAGACCACAACTCCCGCCAGTGAACAGACAAGCAGCCCCGCCAGTGACACCATGGCCACCGCGACCACAGCAGAACTGACTACAAGCACAGCTGCGGAAGAGCTGACTACCACACCTTCGACATCCACTCGCACAATTTCTATCCAACCGACTGTGCCTCACACCACAGCTCCCGTGGAGCCTCCCAGCGATCAGAACACTACCGTCATTGGTTTGGCCGCCGCGGGAGGGAGCGTGGCGGTGCTTGGTGCTGCGGCGTATGCTGGAGTTCAGTCTGGTGTGTTCTCCAGTGCGCTCGGAGGTGGAGAGTTTGTTGGTGGAGGCGAAGCCGAAGGAGCGATGGTGGAAGAAAACCGAGAACAGCTCCAGACTGTGGACGTTGGCATGTTCGCGTAGAAGATCTATCGGCAATTTTTTCACCTTGGATTATTGAACGTTGTTTTTGAACACCCCAACCAAGGAGTTATTCTTTTTCTCCACTCTTCGGTTCAACTTGCCGGATAGATGTGCGCTCAGGGTGTCCCCACTTGCTTGCGGTGTAACTGTGGTGATCACATCGAGAACTGCAAACAACTCCACTTGTAACCAACCTTTAAAATAATACCCTTGTACTGCCGAAAGCCGCCCACAAATCTTCTTGTCGCGAGTTTTGGGGATCCACCACAATTGCGGGGAGTGAGAATGCGTGGCTGGGGTGCCAGAGGGGTCCTGAAATCAGTGCAACAAAAACGGGATGGCGCGGATGCCAGCGCGCAGAAGCTCTCTGTCGACAACGCCCGACAGTTGAATGCACTGGATCAGAAAACAAGCGGGAAGCAATAGAATGCTGCGAGAAACGGTCCGTGTTGATGGCATCTGAGTGGACCTTGGTCCGCGGGAGACAGAATCGTGGCCGCTGGCTGGCCCAGCTTCGATAAGCGAAGGAACCGGGGGCAGGAGACTGATGGTCGTAT